CGGAATATTACTCAGTCGTCAAAAAGAATGAAATCTTGCCATTTGCGACTACATGGATGGAACTAGAGTGTACTTTGTTAAGCGAAGTTAAGTTGGTCAGAGAAAGACAAATATATGATTTCACTAATATGTGGAATTTAAGAAACAAAACAGATGAACATAGGGGAAGGGAAGGAAAAATAAGATAAAAATAGAGAAGGAGGCAAACCATGAGACTCCTAACTATAAGAAACAAACTGAGGGTTGCTGGAGGGGAGGTGGGTGGGGAGGATGGGGTAATTGGATGATGGGTAGTAAAAAGGGTACTTGATGGCATGAGCACGGGGTGTTATATGCAACGGATGAATGACTGAATTCTACCCCTGAAACTAATAATATACCATATGTTAACTAAATTGAATTTAAATAAAAAAAAATTTTTAAAGAAAATGACTGATAATATGCAAGAGAATCTCGGTAAGATTAACAACTGATTTCTCAGCAAATTTTAATTTTAATTAAAATTTAAAATGTTAAAAAAAGAAATAATTTCCTAAATGAGCTCGATCTTTAAGTATTTTAAATATTTCAATGTAGTGTTAAGTGGGAAAGAGTGGAGGAAGACAGGTATTCTAGGCCAAAAAAAAAAAAAAAGAAATCACTATCTGAAATGCAATCTAGTTGGGGGAAGATAATATAAGGCCAAAAGGTAGATGTGTTTAGAATTAAGGGCTATGAGCCAAGCAGATAGGTTGTATTATGGCCTTGCCACAAGATATGTAACCTCAAGCAAAGTATTTCACCTCTGTACTTCAGTTTTCTCATATGTAATGTAAATTTTGCTCATTAAGGATTAAAAAATGTAAATAAAGATGTACTTGGCACATGATAAACATCAGATGTTAGGGAACTTCTCTCTTGAGATGGGAACCACTAAAACTGTTGTGTGTGGGAATAACAGAGAACCAGAGAACCTGAGTTATAAGGGGCCCTTGAGATTATATAGTCTTATCCTCTGGTGTGTATGTGTCCTCCATTTTTTGACAGTTCTATTCCATTCTATTACTAGAAAGTTCTAATCCAAAGTCCATCTCTGTAAGGCAGAGCAGTCTATTTTTTTTTCTGCAAAATGGCCTTTCTTTTTTAAGATTTTATTTATTTATTTGACACAGAAAGAGAGAGAGCACAAGCAGGGGGAGCAGGAGAGGGAGAAGCTGGCTCCCCACTGAGAAGGAAGGATCCTGAGATTATGACCTGAGCTTAAGGCTGAGGTCTGAGCCACCCATGTGCCCCTGCAAAACAGCCTTTCTAATAGTCAGAGAGCTAAAAGGTCTCCCATTACTCTCCTTTCTCCACGCTAACAGCTTCTTGTAAAATGAAATGTTTAGACTCCAAACCCTGCTATCCTCTTCTAGGTACCTTCTATATTGAGAAGTGGGAAGACAAAAAAAAAAAAAAAAAAAAAAAGGTCTTATTTCTATAGAAATAACTCAACAAAGACCTATAATCCATAACATCATACCTGCCCTCAAAGAGATCACATTCTAATTGGAAAAGTAGACAAGTAAACAGACAATTAAAACAATTAAGTGCTATGGTAGAGGTAAATATAATCTGCCACTGGGCATAAGAGCAACAAACCAGGTCCTGTGTGTGTGGGTAGTTATGAGTGTGTGTTGGTGGCTGTTCAGAAAAGGCTTTTTGGAAGAAATAATATCTCAACTGAGTTTCAAAGAACGGAGTACGTTTTAGCCAAGAAATTAAGACAGGCTATCGTAACAGCTACCTATTCAAATGGTCCCTCTTCAAGGCTCTCCTCCCTTCTAAAGTTTTGTATGAGATAATGATCATAATGCATAATATATACAAAAGTAGTTTATATAATTTGAAAAATGCACCTCATATGGTCAATTTCTTATGTCAACTTTAGATTATTGTGTTAATTCACAGCTATGAGAAAGCATTTCTAATTGAAGTTTGGGCAAGAAAAGCAGGCTGATAGGTTAAAAATAAGCTTTATAGAGTAGAAAAACCTGGGTTCAAATATAAGCTCTGCACCTTTCTAGCTATTCATTGATTCAACTAACACTTATTAAATGACTGCTCTGTTATAAATATTCTAATTGCTGGAAACACACAGTATCAATATTTTAGAAATGAATTTACTCTGCCATCCCTTTATATGGACTGCTTTGTCACTCAACTCCTAACATAAATCCTAAAACTACTGATATATTTCAAGAGTGCTTTCTTCATAGACATGTAGCTGGCAGAACTGTTTTGTTATGAAAATAAATATCCCAACACATTCCTGTAGAGATAGGACCAGATATGTACCTGTAGGCAAGGCCAAGACTTTCCTCAGAAAGCCCTGGCTATCAGTTATCAAGCACAACAATCTCAGGTGATAGACTATTACAATAATGGCCTCGAATGAATCATGCCCCATCTGTCCATGCCCCTTTCTAATGTAACTTGGCCACTCCTCCCAGAAAGAGGTACACTCCATTTTTCCTCCCCTTGAATCTGGGCTGGTCTTGTGATTTACTTTGACTTGTTTTAGAGAACTGACATTATGAGATTTCCACGGCTAGCCTTAAGTGTGGCAGCTTCCACTCTCAGCCTTTTGGAACACTTCTATGGCCCTATAAGGAACTACTGAATGAGAGACCATGTGGAGAGACAGAATCAGCCAGCAGCCTGATGTATATGTGAGCCCATTTTAGCTCCACCAGCCTCAAATGAGCTGCCAGCTGACTCTGCACCTGCATGAGTAAGCCCGGCTTAGACCAGCAGAACAGTCCAGTCAACCCAAAGAATCCTGAAAAATAATAGTTGTTTTACACTACTAAGTTTTTGGTTTGTAACATAGTAATACATAACTAAAGGATCCTATAAGATAGGTACTATTGTTTACCTGCAATTCACAGCTGAGGAAGTAAATTCTTAGCTTAAGTTTCAGAATTCTGCGAACATTTGAAAAACTGTATCTCTTCTGATAAAGAATGTACTTCATTTTCTTCAACAAAACAAAAAAGAAAGCAAAGCGTGGGGGGAAATATAAGCTGAGCATGGGGGAAAATATATGATCATTTTACTTTCATCCAAATCTAAAAATTACATGCAGAAAGGATTAAACCATGAATGAAGACAGTTGGTACTCTATGGAGTAAAAGACACATTCACCTTATTTACAACCCAGGGAATAAGTCATTATATGTACTTACTAACTGCTTTATAATAATAATAGTAACAAAGACAATTCTGTGGCACTAAATGTCAAGTACTGTTCTAGTAACATGTGTGATGTAAATGTATATACACACACATACTCATTTTGTCCTTAGACAAGAATAAGTCCTATTATCCCCATTTTCATGAGAAGGAAACTGCAGTACATAGTAGCTAAATCCAAGATACTCAGCTAGATTTCCCACTGATAAAACTAGATTACATGTGCCACCAGAGAAAAGATAGCAGAGTTTTCATAAAACACAGCCAAGGTTTCAATGGCCAGGTTAGAGCAGGTGTATCCCATTTATGTAGATGAACATGATCTCAGCTGTCAGGATGTAAATATTACCATCAACTTAAGACGCATACTTTAAACAGAATACAAGTTCATTACAAAAGAACTGTATAATGTTCTGTATAATCTACAAAAAGAAAACGGACAATTATCTATCTACCTACCTACCCACCTACGATTGTAACTGCTTGCATGACAGGCATATGTCACAAATTTTAACGTGGAGTGGATCTAACCCTTCAACATAAATTCCGCAAAATTCCTAAACAATTCAGATCCCTGCAAATATCACTAATCTAGACATCCTGACTCACGTTGTGAGGGCGTTCCGCTTATGTGCCCCTCTTCAGAGTTGGTGGCGGAGAGAGAACCCAAAACACAAGGTCTCACAGAAGATGGTCCAGGTGGTTCTGAACACATGATAGCGGCCATACCTCCTCACCCCTTTCAGCCTCTAGAAGCCATCTCCCAGAAAACCCTGCATCGAGGTCCCAGAATATACATTTCCCTCAATCAAAAAAAAAAAGGCCCAAAGAGAGACCAGAATTCGGTGTGAGAGGCCAGCCAGGGATGGAAAGAGACACCAGGGGAAAAAAAGAAGGCCGTGGGAGCAGTCGTCCCTCAGACCATGCTTCCAGAATCTTAACAGGTAAAGATGCTATCAAAGACAGAACAAGTTGACAGTCACCCCAAGTCTGACACCCCCCCCCCAGGGGTCCCTGCACCGGCTTTCCGCTGCTCCCAATTTTTGCGTCTACAAACGACCTCAGGCCCGCCCCCTTGGTCGTCAGGCTGTATCACATCCCAAAGCCGCCGTCAACACAAGAACAGGTCTATGGCTTCCCTCCCGACCTCCCAGGCCCCTGAGAAATACTCACTTGCCCGCAAGATCTTTATGAGAGCCGCTCGAATTCATGAGCTGGGCCAAATCCTGCCGCACGGCTGCCGCCATCTTTCTTCCAGCTCAGCAGAGGCTGCCGGGCCTCGCACAGCCAAAAAGAAAACGAGTGTAGGCCTCCAGACCGCAGCTAGAGGGAACCCGAGATGCCATAGAGTACCGACTGTGTGGGCCAGAGCGCCCGGTGCGAGAGCCTGCGCAAAGTCCGTCCCCAGAGTTGAGTGACGCGAAGCTCCACTCACGTCCGAGGCCCGTCCAGGATTCTCCCACAGGCTCAGGCTCGCGCGCTCCCACTTAGGATTGGCGGATGAAGTCGAAGGCGTGTGTTGCTTGTGCAACTCCAGTAAGTGCCGGGCACCCGAAATTTCCAAGTCGTCATTAATGAGGTTCCGTGTCTCACTTACGTGATTTACTGTTGTTCCTAGTTCTTTAAGACAGTCCTTAAACTTCGTGTGTTAAAAACGAATTGCTTTTATGTCCAATTCACCACAGACTGGTACTGTTGTAAAATACAGTAAAAAATGTACATATTTCTCCTCTGACTTTGTACCCTTTATATAGGGTGATCGTGCATCCCAGTTTGTCCAGGATGATGCCATTTTCCGTCTGTTGTCCTGGAGTGATTATTAACAACACCCCCTTTCACTCTAGAAACTGTTTCACCTGGATGATAAATTATATGGTCACCTATCTTTTTATGTAATTGTATACATTACTCATGTATCCTTATGGACTTTCTTTCTGCACATAAATTAAATTATTATCCTTTATTTATAGAAGATAACACACCATATCATTATTCCCCTTGATTTTCTTCACTTTTTTTGGTAGATCTTACCATGTATATCCAGAGAGCTTCCTCATCATTTTTTTTTTTTAAACTGGAGAGTATTGCATATAATGAGGGGATGGTCATAGTTTATTTAATCTTTATAACCCGACACTTAAATTGTTTTTAATCAATCAACCAGTGCTGCAGTAAAGAAGTTCCTACCAACAATATGTAGAAGTGCCATTTTCTACAGCCTTGCCTACAAAGGATATCAAACTTGAATTTTGTCCTCATGGTGTGTCATAAATAGAATGTTCCCTCTATTGGAAAGGGGAAAGGAGAGAAGACTAGAACAAGGAAATTCTTTAAGAAAGTAATGTGGAGATTGCTTACATCAATTCTGATACCAATCCGTTGGCAAGAACTTAGTCACATGACCAGGCCTAGCAACAGTGAGGCTGGAAATTCGGTTTCCAGTCCAGCAGCCCTTTGCCTAAGAAAAAGAAAAGGATGGGTTTAAAGGGACAGTCAGTAGTCTCTACTATAATCTGTCCCACTGATCACCTAGATATCTGCGTGTATCCTTCTTACAGTAGAATACTCTTACCCCTAAAGAAGAGAGATCAATTCCCTGTTCGTTTCTATACCAGCTCAAAAAGCAGGATGTTTGATGATGCACAACCCTCTCCATCTGATTGGGATATGTCTTTTCATGGCCCAGAGTTATATACACTGTAAAACAAATTATCTGCTCATGCCTGTACATGTAATACAAAACAACAGTGGAACAGGAACAGGATAACCACAGTTAAAACTCAAAAAAATTAGAATGTGAAACACATAGCCGTTACTTCTCCATAGCAATGATGGAACCCTGGGCAGGAATTAGAAATACTCAATACCTTGTAGGGAGTAAGTTCCTTGGTTAGACCCTCATTCTGCTCTTTGAGAGGATCTCCATTGTCCATTGTACTCTGGGCCCCAGTTTTGCCCTAGGAATGTAAGTTAACTGGATTTTGGAGAGTATTCCCTCTTTGGAGGAATGCCTTTGGATCTGGATTGAGAGCTTTTGTAGGCCAGGTTTTTCAGTGTTTTGTTTTTGTTGTTTTATTTAAATGTAATTTCATTGAATATTCAGTAAACTCTACTTCCAGACAGTTTCAGGTGCCAGTAACCACGCCCACAGTTGTTTCTAGAAATAGTTGTTAAATGTGGCCTATTTCCTGGATTCCACACTCAAACCTTTCTTAACATCTTTCTTTTTAATGACAGTCTTGAGGTTATCTGAAACAATAGGCTTAAGTGAGAAGGGAACTCTATTAATTTGATTTTTGCTTCAGTTTATCTTTGTTTTCTGTTGTTTTTTTGCCCATTTGTGTTTGCCAAAAAATCTTAATGGGCTATGAGAAAACCCAAAATCTCTTCTGCTATATAGGGGTACATAAGCAGTTGGCTTTTTCAACTTAGTGAAGCCCAAGAATTACCAGCTGTTCTATTTGCTTTTTACTCTGACTTTGAGGTTTATTTGTAATACCTTGCTGAAAGCAGAAAGAAGCAACCAAACATACAAACTGTCTCTTCCCATATACCTCCACTAGAGCTACAAGCTAGGTAGAGAAGTTGTCTGCCTTCCTGGTTCTTGTAATCAGCAATTTGACTAAACTTTTTGACATGACAAGGCCTCCCTTTTCCAGACTGCTCAGGGGTAATCCTGCTCAACCTCTAAAAGAATCTGTGTGGGCGCCTGGGTGGCTCAGTTGGTTAATCGACTGCCTTTGGCTCAGGTCATGATCCTGGAGTCCCAGGATCGAGTCCCGCATCAGGCTCCCTGCTCAGCAGGGAGTCTGCTTCTCCCTCTGACCCTCCCCCCTCTCATGTGCTCGCTCTCTCTCTCTCACTGTCTCTCAAATAAATAAATAAAATCTTTAAAAAAAATAAAAGAATCTGTGTATTTTTAGGTTTTACTTACAGCACGGTGGAAAAACAAACAAGCATGGTACTGGAAACATTCTCTTTTCAGTTGCTTAGCAGCAAGAAGTTAGCTAGGCTTGTTTGAATTAAGAAATTCTAATTCTGTTTTACTATGCAAAACCTTAGGTCCCAGCCCCTACTTACTGAGTCAAAACTGTTATATTATCAAAATCCATCTAGTAATTTTTGCACATTAAAGTTTGGGTAGCACTGCTCTAGCTTAGATGTCCACACCACTAGATAGATGAGTTCTCTCACTAAACTCTTGCCTATTAAAGCCATTTCCCTGGCTAGGAAACTCCCACTTTTATATAATCAGATATAAAAGCTGTTCTCTAACCTCTCTCAATTTCCCTACAAATATGCAGAGAGAGTCATCCTGGGGTCCTTTTCCTGGTGCATTTTCCACTCTGTGTCCCATGTGCCCAGCTCAAATATGCCTTGCTATAGAAATAAAAAAAGAGCATAGGTGATTGCATATATTCTGCTGTTTTCTGAGCATCAGTCCTTACTCTACATTTGTTCCACATGTTGCTAGTGCTGTGTGACAAAATTATTCTAGAGTCATCTTGTGTGTTTCCTAGCCTAGACCCATAATCAGCTGTTTCTCCAAGAAGCCCTTGTTCCTTTAGTTCATTTACAGATAACAATCTGAGTGCCAGGGATGTTCGTTGCTACTGTCTTGGTCATTTTGGGAACTTTTCATAGGACAGAACTAGGAAATATATATATATAGAGAGAGAGAGGATAAAATAAGTCATGAGTTCATTCTGATACTTCAAATTCCAGTATAGGTGATTTTACTTAACCTCTTTTGTATTACATCTGTATCTCCTTTCCTCCACATCCAGAATCCTGGTTCACAAGTACATAGGAGATTATAGAAGCAGCATATTCATTCATCCTACATTGTACACACAACAACTTCAGAATAGCAATACTAATACTACTATCCCCGATGTGATTGCTGAAGGAATTCAACATTTTCCTACTACTTTTCTTCCATTTCCTCTGTTCTATTGTGAGCACATACAGCTGTGACAAACTATACTTTCTTCCTCCTAATCCTCCTTTGGTCTTGTTCTGTAAGTAGTACACATTTAATGCTCACCATCAGCTCTTATATTGAGACCTCTTAGTCATTTTAGTTGGCTAAAGCTAGTTCTTTAATAGGTTTCTCAGGAAGGGGCTCCTGGAAAACATAATTTTGAATGTTCTTGAATGTTGGAAACATCTTGTGCCTTTAATTTTTGAAAATCAGTTTTGTTAGATAATCTTGACTCACTTTTCTTGAGAATCTGAAGTGTGATGCTCCATTTTCTTATGACCTAAAGCATTGCTGAAAAATAGCTCATGAGAGTCTAATTTTCTTTTCCTTATAGGTCACCTCATCTTTTTGCCTAGATGCCCCCCAATTTTTTTCCCTTTAACATCAAGTAATTTTACTAGACTATGTGCTGGTGTTGGTCATTCTGGGTCAATATTCTTAGGTATAGAGCGTGCTCTTTCAATAGATCGTTTCAATTTTTTCAATAATATCTTTAATTACAATTTTTCTTTTTGCTCTATTCCTTTGGTTTCTTTCCTCAGAAACTACTATTGTCTTTATGTTAGATCTTCTTTATCTTAATATTAGTCACCTTCCCTCAAAATCTTTTTCTTTTTTCACATTTTTAATTTTCTTTTCACCCTGTTTCTCTTAAGGCATTATCTGACACTTATATTTGCTCCTGGTTTCCTTCTAGTTGAGTCTTCATTCCCAAATAATGTTTTTATTGCTAATTCCTACTGAGTTCTGCCATTATGTTTTTCTGTCATGTCCTGTACCATTTTCTTTTCAATTTAACTAATGTGAAAAGTGTATTAAGGCTTACCTTCTTTTCAGTTTAACTGATGATTACCTTCCCTTTTCTGACATTCACTATCACTTTTTCTTTAGCAATATGTGAGGACAAGTTTCAGCCCTTTACTCGCTTCTGGACTCTCTAGTCCCCCATTGCCTCTGTATCATACCTCAATAAATGAGACTCATAGAATATTTTTACTTCCACATCCTTCACTTCTAGTTGAGACCTTGAAAATATATTGATGTCTGCCCCCTCCACCCTTACCTAGTTCCTCGGTTTCACTGAGATAGGTTGGTACTTTGTTCCATTTCAATAAATACTTGCTTTTCCTTTGCAGTATGGCTCTTCTATTTTAGGAATCCTTAAGTTAACACTTGGGCTGTAATTCCCAGTTTCATTGTCATTATTCACTTACATTACTATATAAATTATTCATCACAAATTCCCCTTCTCTTCATCTTCCCTGTCTTGATCTGATTGTTTTGTTGTTTGGTAGTGCTCACTCTTAAGTGATCCCTCAGAGGCTGTGCATGGGTAACATTATTTGTGATTCTGTGCATATTCACAAATATCTTTCCATCCTCTTGATGGTTGAATGAGATTTGGGCTGAGCTGCTGTCCTTTTCCCTCAGTGACCTGTAAAATGTTACTCCAC